CAAGGGTCCACTGTTGTGTCACTGTCTGCTCTCCATCCTGCCCCTCCTAATCTCTGTCCATCCCTTTCAGATCAAAGGGTCCTGGTCAAACAAGAGGGGCTCAGAGTTTGCCAATCCCTACAGCCATAAAAGCATCCTCACAAACTGCTGTGCAGTGCTGTGTGGACCATTCCATCCCAGGTAAGAGCCCGTGGCCTGCAGGCACTGGGAGCTGCCTCCTGCTGTGGGAGAGGAGCCTTGGCAAAGACAGATCTGTCACAGGCCAGGGCAGCACAAACCTGCTCTGATGGGGGGAGGAAATTCCCACTCTGCAGAGAAAGGCTCCTGGGAGGGGTCTGTGGCTCCTGGGAGAGGTCTGTGGCTCCTGGGAGGGGGTCTGTGGCTCATGGGAGGGGGTCTGTGGCTCCTGGGAGGGGTCTGTGGCTCCTGGGAGGGGTCTGTGGCTCCTGGGAGGGGGTCTGTGCCTCATGGAAGGGGGCTGTGGCTCTTGGGAGGGGTCTGTGGCTCATGTGCTGGGCAGAACCCTGTGCTCCAGCATCCTGCCTGTGCTGTGCTCTGCAGCTCCTGGGAGAGGAGCCTGCCCTGTGGCCTGTGAGCTCCCAGCTTCAGTCTTTGTTCCCTGAACTGCTCTTCCCTTCCTGTTTTCCAGCTTGATAGACAGAAGAGGATTTATCCAGCCAGACATGGGGACCCCGTCCAGTCCCAAGAGTGAAATCCCTTCCCTTGGAGCCAAAACTGACAGCAGCATGGTAGGAGGCATTCCCTAGCAGTGCTGTGATGCTCCCAGTGCCTGCTGTGCCTGCACTTGCTCCAGCCTGTACCTTCCCTGTCACAGCCCTGGCTCAGGTGGGACAGCCCTGAGCTGCCAAAGGCTCGAGCCATGCGTTGCCTTCTTTTTTTTTTACATTTATTTATTACTTTTTGTTTATTTGTTTCACTGTGCTGTGACCTGTCAGGGGTGTTGCCTGACAGAGCCCAACAGCTTGTGGGACCCTTGGACTCGTGCTGGAAACAGGGGGTCCCCAGGAGTCCCCAGACCCCTGAGCTCCAGGGCATTGCTGTGATTCCTGCTGGGAATGAGAGGGGCCAAGGCTGGGAGCTGGGCACTGGCAGATGATTCCCAGCTGGGGCTGGGCTGGAGGAGGTGTCACCTCCCTGGTGCCCCTGTTAGCTCCATCAGCACACCCTGCTCCCCTGGCCCACCTGGCAGGGCTCTTGTGGCTCTCAGGCTGCAGCAGCTTCCCCTCTCCAGAAGCTGCTGGGCCTTGGTGAGCTGGGCTGTTCAGCTGGGAGGACTCTGGCTCCCAGCACACCTGGGGGCCAGTGGGGATGTCCTGGGTGATCCCTGCTGATCCTCTTTCCTGGCTGGGGCTGTGTTTTGGCCCTGCCAGTTGGTCAGACACGTTTTGCAGCAAGGACACAAGTCAGGGGACACTCATCCAGCAGGGAAGAAGAAACACTCTGTGCTCTGTGACTCTCAGAGATGCAGGTCACAAGGCTGCAGGGGTCAGGTTTGGGATGCTGGAGCTTCCCGGGATTGTGTCCTGTCTGTGGGAGACCAAAAGGCAGCAGAAGAGTGTGTGAACTCCTGAGGGTCACACCGTTCCCCGCTGGGGGTTCACAGGGAAGCAGTGAGGGGTGCTGGTCTCTGATGAGCTCGTGGTGTGCTCTTGGTTTGGGTTTCTGAGCAGCAGAGTGTCCCCAGGGCTGTCCCCAGGGCTGTCCCCAGGGCTGTCCCCAGTGCCCTGGAGCCATTCCAGCTGCTCATCCACGAGCATCCCTCTGCACCCAGGCAGCCAGCTCCGTGTCCCTGGGGCGAAGGCAGAGTCACAAACCTTGTAGCAATACTTGAATCGTGTTCTTCAAAGCTGCTGGATATTTTTGCACAATTTGTAGGACTTTTTTCTACGTAGAACATTTTCTGTCCTGTGCAGGGAGCACTGTGCACGTTGGCACCAGGGCAGAGGCTCACAGTGCCGAGCTGCCTGTCAGGTTTCCTTGGATCAGACAGACCAGTTTCAACCTGGGGCAGGGGCAGCACATTTTGGGGGGCAGCCCAGCCCCCCTGAGCTCACCAGCATCGTGCTTTGTACTCTGCAAGTGCCTGTGCCAGGGGGATGGAGAGGAGCAGTGAGGAGGGGGTTACCAGGGGCCAGACTCCTTCCTGTTTTTATTTAAACCAGTTTCCTTTGTTACTCAATAAAATTCTATTTTGAAAGAGTTAACTGCTTGGATGATTCTTTTCCTCCTTGAGGACAGAAGGGGGCAGGTGTGTCCCAGGGTTTGGCATCTCCCAGGTGCCAGCTGGGCTCTGTCAGGCTCAGGCCTCACCTGGAAACTCCTGGAAGCTCCAGCTGGGAGGGATGAGCAGCAGCTGACGCTGCTGTGACTCCTGCTGGAGTGAATGGAATTTGCTGTCCCACGTTTGGCAGGGGCTCATCCCTTCCCCTGTTGTCACCTCAGTGTCCCTTCCCCATCTGTGCCAGCCCCTGTGGCCCCGTGGCAGGCGTGAGGTGCATAACCTCTGGTGTCTCCCCCAGGAGGATGCCTGCCAGGACTTTGCCATTTCCTGCACAGCCTGACGGGACTTGCCCCTCCTCGGACGTTTGCCCTGGTTTCTGAGGGTTGGCTGGTAAGAAAGTGCTTCCTTCTCCCTTCACCTCTGCAGCCACCCATCTCTGCACTGCATGGCAGCTCTGGCTCAGAGCCCATCACCCCAGCTCTGCTGGATCCCCCTGCCCATCCATCCCACCAGCATCCCTCTGGCACGGGGGCATGGTGCCAGGGCTCTGGGGCTGAGGGGGCACCTGAAGGCTTTGCCAGAAGAGGAAGGTTTGGTTTTCCTGGCTTTGTGCTGGGCTGGAGCCACCCAGTCTGCATGGGGACATTGTGGGACACGAGTGACCAGGGTGGCAGGGGACTCTGCAGCCTGGGCCTGGCTGGAGCCCAGCCTGTGGCTGTGTGAGAGAACCCCAGCCAGGGAAGGTTTGCTGTTTGGGGGGAGCCGTGGCCCCTGGGGCAGGTGTGGTCCCCCATCCTGACCTTGCTGTGGCCCCCCATCCTGACCCTTCTGTGGCCCCCCATCCTGACCCTGCCATGGCCCCCCATCCTGACCCTGCTGTGGCCCCCCATCCTGACCTTGCTGTGGCCCCCCATCCTGACCCTGCTGTGGCCCCCCATCCTGACCCTGCTGTGGTTCAGGGGACCCCTCTGGCCCCTCTGCCCGTTCTCCTCCCTGCAACACCCGCTTCCTGCTCCTGTGAGCAGGGTAAGTTCCTTCGGGGCACCTTGGGATGGGATGTGTCCCCTGAGGGCCTGTCCCCTCCCCGCAGCCCCCCGGGAGCTCCTGAGCCTCGGGGCAGGGACGGAGCCCCCTCCTCCCTCTGCCCACCCTGCTCCCGCAGCTCCTCTGTTTCTGGCACTAACTCTCCTTTTATCTTCCTCCCCTCTGCTCTCCCTCGCTCCGGGCGGATCCAGCGCCGCAGCAGCCGGAGCCTCTCGTGGGGCAGCCACGGGCAAGAGCCCACAGCCACGACCACCTCGAGTGCCTCTGCTCGCCTGCCTGCCTCCCTCCCTCCCCCGAGCAGGGAGCTCAGAGCCATACAGCCCCCAACAAGGAGGGATAAATAACCGCGGCCACGTCCCATCCCCGCCGTGCCCCGCCGCCGGGGGCTCCCCGGGGGCACTCGGGGACGGCGTCCTCCCGTCCATCCCCGGTGCTGGAATGTCGTGGTTGGCGTCCCAACGGGATTTTGGAAGGAGCAGGATCTCTCCAGAGCCAAGCCAGGGGCACCAGCCCCAAACCCTCCCGTGTCCGTGTGCCAGAGGACTTTCCCGATGGGAATTTGTACCTGGTCATTCATCCCTGCAGCCCCTGCAGGCCAGCTCCCCCTGCCAGCCTCATCCCAGCACGGCTCTGGCTTTAGGGGAAGGGCTCCAGCACCTCGAGCAGCCTCGCTGGGCTGAGAGCCGAGTGGAGCAGCCAGGCCTGTCCCGGCCCTGTAGGATTCACCGTCTGTTTACGCCTTTTACTTTTGTAACAAAATGAAAGTTTCTCCTATTTAGTGTACTCTGGTGTCTGGCTCTGCTCCGCGGGTGGAGGGGAACGGCTCCTGCCTGGGCAGGCCCGAGCAGCGCCGAGGGAAGCCACCGAGGGCTGGCATGCTGTGCCATCAGCCGTGGGGATGGGAGCCAGGAGCTTCCCGAGCTGGGCTGTGGCACAGTCCGGGGCCGGTCTCAGCCATCCAAGCTCTGCACCCTCCTGCAGGCTGGGAAGGAGCAATGGGCAGCGCCCGCAGGACCCGGGGCACTGGGAGCACCCCTTGGAAAAACGCGTTGTCCGCTGGTGTTTTGGGAGCTGGCAGCGTCGCCACAGCCAGGGGGAGCAGCAGGGCCGGGCAGGGTGGCTAGACGGGCTCTGAGCATCGCTCCAGTGCCCTGGGAACAGCCACGAGCATCCTCTGCCTCTGCCAGCCCAGCCCACGCCTGCCCTCGGCTCAGGGGCTGGAGACGTGCTCCGGCCTGGGCAGCACCCAGGGCTGGGCTTAACCGGGTGTCCCCTCCCCGCGGTGATCACAGAGCCACAGAATGGTTTGGGATGCCCCTTCTGGCCCTGCCCTTTGGCCTTTGGGGCACCCATGGGTGCTCTCTGGGGTGATGGTGCAGCCCCTGTGCTGGGATCTGGGCTCTGCCCTGCACCCACCGCTGCTGGCCATGGCACCAGCGCAGCAGAGCCTCCCTGAGCCTCCTCTCAGCCAAAATTCAGCAGCAGCTCAGCCCCTTTGGCAGGGCTCAGACACCAGCCCAAGGCTGAGCCATCCCCGCCCCACTCGTGTCCCTGCTGGGCAAGGGGGATCCCAAATTCAGGGGGGGCAGGATCATCCTGGGCAAGCTGGGAGTGCTTCACCAGGCCTGGGGACCCCAACCCAAATGATGGCTTTGCTGCCTGAAGGAGTGTGAGCTCAGAATAAGCCACCCAGGGATTCCTGCCTGGGGTTTTCCAAGGCAAGGAGGTGGATTTTGGCAGGCTGGGTACATTGGGGTGCCCCTTTGGTCCCAGTCCCGCGGTGGGGGGTGGGTTTTGTGCCCGATGGAAGTTCTTGGAGGGTCTCTGTGGGTCTGCCTTGTGTCCTGGGCAGAGGGTGGAACACAGGCCGTGGTCTCCTGCTCAGCTGTTCCTTGCTCCCTCGGGATCAGCTCACCATGGAGGGGCTGTGGGGACCTCGCTGGGGCTGGTCACCCTCACGGGAGCCACGGGAGCCCCTCGATGGCACCTGGGCACCCAAACCGGGAAGGGCTGCAGGGCCCTGAATCCCTTTCTCCTGAATTCCAGCGTGCAGAGGGGGTGATGTGAAGGCCGGGTGTTGTTTTCCTGAGCTTGAAGTATTTGGGAGAAGCATCCCCACGGCTTCCCTGCCTCCTCCATCCCAGCGGGGGCTGAGCGAGGCGCGGGGCGATCCGGGGCGCTCCGGCCGGGTGTCGGCAGGCAGGAACAAAGCCGGGCTCACGGAAAGAATCCCGAGCCCCTTTTGGCCTTGGCGCAGAGCCGCCCGCCCCACCCTGCCCTTCCCGCACGCTCCCGCACGGAGATAAGGCCGGGCCGGGGCGTGCGGCGACAAGCCGGGAGTGAAACTCAGCTCAGATCCCATCGGCACCGCGGCCCACGGGCAGCCCGCAGCGAGCGACAGGGACGCGGAGCGGCGGGGACGGGCAGCCCGGGGGTCTCCCCTCGCCGCTCCCACCTCGGCCACTTCGGGGGTCCCCTCAGAGGCTGACTGTGCCCCGCTTTTTTGGGACGGTCCCTCCCTGGCGGAGGAGCGGAGCCTCCGCCTGGGTCTCCCCACCTGTGGGAATAAACGCCCGCCCGTCAGGCGCTCGCAATTACGGCCGAGGCAATCACCATATCAAAAACGACAGCGATACGGCTTTTTCGGGGGGGAGGGACCCGATTTTACGAGCGGCCACACCCCGTGGCCCATTTCTCCGGGGTGGGGAAGAGCCCATTGTGTCCCCGTCCCCCCCAAAGGACAGCGCGGCTCCCGCCGCCCTCCCGGCGCTCTCGGCAGCGCGAAGGGCGGCTCCCGGTGCCGGGGCGGGCGGCGGCTCTGGGGAGAGCCCCGGGGCACCCAGGGGTGCCGCACCCACCGGGAGGGCAGGGCGTTGGCCGCCCCCCTCGCCCCCTCCCCAGCGCCCGCCGCCCGCGGGCGATGATTCACCGCGATTTTCCTTTTAAGGCCGCGCTCGGCGGGGAGGAAGCAGAGGAGGAGGAGGAGGAGGAGGACACTCCTTGGAGCTGGCTGGCTCCTCCTGCTCTCGCTCGAGGCTCCGACGCGCAGCCAAAAGCGAATCCCGGCGGCGGCGCTCGGCAGAGGCTCCGACGGCTCCCGGCCCCGCTGCTCGCCCAAGCGCCCGCGTCCCAGCCATGGCAAGAAACCACCAAGTGCAGAAGGCCAAGCTGGCCGAGCAGGCTGAGCGCTACGAGGACATGGCAGACTTCATGAAGGCCGTGGTGGAGCACGGGGACGAGCTGTCCAACGAGGAGCGCAACCTGCTGTCGGTGGCCTACAAGAACGTGGTGGGCTGCCAGCGCTCGGCGTGGAGGGTCATCTCCAGCATCGAGCACAAAACCGAGGAGGGCGACGACAAGGCGCAGGTGGTGAACGAGTACCGGGAGAAGGTGGAGCAGGAGCTCAACGCCGTCTGCAACAACGTGCTGGGCTTGCTGGACAAGTATCTCATCAAGAAGGACAGCGACACCGAGAGCAAGGTCTTCTACCTGAAGATGAAGGGCGACTACTTCCGATACCTGGCCGAGGTGGCCAGCGGGGACGACCGGCTGTCGACGATAGAGAAGGCGCAGGAGGCCTACCAAGAGGCCATGGACATCAGCAAAAAGGAGATGCAGCCCACGAACCCCATCCGCCTGGGGCTGGCCCTCAACTTCTCGGTGTTCCACTACGAGATTGCCAACGCCCCCGAGCAGGCCATCTCGCTGGCCAAGACCACCTTCGACGAGGCCATGGGCGACCTGCACACGCTCAGCGAAGACTCCTACAAGGACAGCACCCTCATCATGCAGCTGCTCAGGGACAACCTCACGCTATGGACAGCCGAGTGCGCCGGTGAAGACGGCGGCGAGGCTGGCGAAGAGCCCAAGAACTGAGCGTGCCCTGCCGAGCCGGGGGCCGGCCCCCCCTGCCCCGCTCCAGCCCCTTCGGCATCTCTTCGTGGTTTTTTTTTTTTTTTTGGTTTTTTTTGGTTTTTTTTTTAATTTTTTTTTTGGTTGGTTTTGGCGGGGAGGAGTCTCAGCTCCCCCCATCCTGGATACCGGGAGCGGGGGTGGTTTTGGCAGGGCTCTTCCCTCTCTCTCCCCCATCCTCTGCTCTGGGGAGGGGGAAAAGAGGGAGAGGGGGTGTCTCTGTCCCGGAGAGCTGCCAGCCCCCAGTATTTAACATTTTTTTGTGGGGGGTGTCCAGTCTGGCCTGTGCCTGCTCCAAACCCCCTGTCCCAGAGGGCTGGAGCAGCAACAGGAGGAGGTGAGGGGCTGGGCCGGGGCGAGGGGGGGTCCGGGCAGCCCCCCATTCTGGGAGGGGGTCTCGTGTTGCCTCTGTGCTCCAATAAACCTTCTCCTGCACCTCTGCTCTCGTCTGCCTCGTCTCTCCCTGCACACATGTCTGGGCAGCCTGCCTCGCCCCCTCCCACCCCCCAGCACTGGCTGCTCTCGGTGCCCCCAGCCCCACAGCAGGGTCTTGGGCTGAGCTGCGGCCGTGGCAGGCTCGGGGGTCTGTGCCTGCCTGGCACGGGGGTTTTGGCAGCCCCACGCAGGGCTGGCTGCTCCACAAGGTGCTCAAAGGTCCCCCAGTCCCTGACCCAAGCCCTTGATACAACCCCAGAGTTCCCCAAAACCTGCCACTGACTCCCCTGGGTGGGTCCCCGTGGCTGCTCTAAGTCCAAGGAGGAAAATCCACAAAAGCTGCGCGGGCAGCGACCCAGGGGCTGCCAGGGTGGGGACATCCCTCCCGAGGCCCCGACGCGCTGGGACAGGTGAAAGCTCAGCACTTCTGAAGGGCGCAGCTCCCTCCCCCTTCCCCCACCGGCGCGTTTCAACATGAGCAATAATTACAATAAAACACTCAGGCACCCCGGGCTGTGAGCTCAGCAGGGCCGGGCAGGGCCGGCCTTTGATGGGGAGGAAAGCGCCGTGACTCGGGAGGGGCTGCAGCGGGACAGGGGGGCCCTGGCGTGGCCAAACCCCGGCCCTTGCAGGGCAGGGACCCCCTGAGACCCCCTGGGCTCGGGGAATGGGGCCGGGACCCCCTGGGCTCGGGGAATGAGGCCGGGACCCCTGGGCTGTGGGAATGGGGCAGGAGCAGAGCCGGGACCCCCTGGGCTCGGGAAATGGTGCCGGGACCCCCTGGGCTCGGGGAATGGGGCAGGAGCAGAGCTGGGACCCCCTGGGCTCCGGGAATGGGGCAGGAGCAGCGGCGGGACCCCCGTGGTGCCAGCAGGAGCTCGGGGCTGGCCCGGGGGTGACCAGGGCTCTGCTGGGCTGCACGAAGCAGCGCCTGGATGGACACCGGGAGCAGATCCCAGCAGAGGGGTGACCCCCGTGAGCCCCCGGCCCTGCCCAGCCCCGTCCCACAGCCCTGGTGCTGCCCTGGGCTCCCCAGAGGTGTCAGGGCTGGTCCCAGCCAGGGACCCCAAAGCTTGGCCGGCCCCGGGCGCTCCCAGCCTGGGAACGGCCCCAGACCTGTAATTAGCCAGAGCGGGGCAGCGACGGGAAAAACGAGCTGAGGGTGACCCCGCGGCCTGGGGACACCCGGACTGGTTAAACTGGGCAGCGGCGGGGCTGAGCTGGCAGTGCTGCTGCCCAGGAAGGGCTGACTGGGGGTGTCCGTCCAGCCCTGGGGCTGTGGGTTCCCCCTGGCTTCCCAGGGGTTAACAGATTTCAACAGCTCCCGAAATTGCGGCGTGGCTGGGCCGTGTGGGAGGATGCAGCTCCCCGCTCCCAGCCGGTCCGGCAGCTTTTCCAGGCTGGGAAGGAGGAGCCCTGGATCCCCAGGACTCTCCTGTGAGAGGGTTGTGCTGCTGGGGAGCTCTCTGGGGTCCTTCTGTCCCCCTGCTTCACCCTGGGTGCTGGGACCCGGGGGGAAGGACCGGGGGGACGTGGGGACCTGCATCCCCAGCCTGGTCCTTATCCAGAGGCTGTGGAATGCTCTTGGCATTCCCATCTCAAGGGGCGTCCAGAGGAGCTCTCAGATCGATTTTAGGGTCTTGAACACCCTCAGAGCAGAGGGACTGGGTGCCCAGGGCCAAGGAGTGTCCCCCACCCCGCAGTCCCCAGCAGGGCCCTGGCACGGGCGCTGGTGGCCACGGGCAAAAGGCCACCAAAACGGGTCTGTGAGGAGACCAGGGGTGTTCTGCTGCCTGCAAAAGGCTCTGCCCATCCCGAGTGGGAGCTGCAGCAGCCACGGCCCCGCCTGTCCTTGTCACCACTGTCCCAGCCTCCCCCCGGGCTGTGTGCCCAGGGCTGGGGCTGGCCAGTCTGGGCACCCAGACATGGGGTGCCATCGCCCCTGGCCTCGGGGCAGCCTCCTGCCAGCCTGCCACCAGTGCCTGCTCTTTCTGGAGAGCTTTTTTATCCCCATTAGAAAGCGCCACTTGATGGGGAAACTCAGCTTTTGAGCAGGAGCTGAAATCAGGGCTGGAGCACGGGGAGAGCCCAGTTCCGTGGCTGTGAGAGGTGCTCAACCCCTCCATCCCCAAAACAACACCCTCAGGTTCAGCCCCACGGCCGGGGGTGGCTCAGCAGGACCAGCTCAGCTCAGGGGGGCTCAGCTGGACCAGCCCAGCTCAGGGGGGGCTCAGCAGGACCAGCCCAGCTCAGGGGGGCTCAGCAGGACCAGCCCGGGTCAGGGGGGCTCAGCAGGACCAGCCCGGGTCAGGGGTCCTCAGCTGGACCAGCCCAGCTCAGGGGGGCTCAGCAGGACCAGCCCGGGTCAGGGGGGCTCAGCAGGACCAGCCCGGGTCAGGGGTCAGGGTGGGCTCAGCAGGACCAGCCCAGCTCAGGGGGGCTCAGCAGGACCAGCCCGGGTCAGGGGTCAGGGGGGCTCAGCAGGTCGGACCAGCCTGGCAGAGCACCCGGCCCCCTCCCAGGGATGTGCCAGGGCTGGGGTGACTCATGCTGGCCCTTGGCCCCGCCGATTGCTCAAGGCAGTGACAGCAGCCAAAGTGTCACCTCCCTGGGCCCCGGAGCCTGGCCGTGTCCCCTCCCAGCCTGGGCTCTGTGGGGTGCAGGCCCCGCGGTCAGGGGGGGCTCAGCAGGACCAGCCCGGCTCAGGGGGGCTCAGCAGGACCAGCCCAGCTCAGGGAGGCTCAGCAGGACCAGCCTGGGTCAGGGGGGCTCAGCAGGACCAGCCCGGGTCAGGGGTCAGGGGGCTCAGCAGGACCAGCCCAGCTCAGGGGGGCTCAGCAGGACCAGCCCGGGTCAGGGGTCAGGGTGGGCTCAGCAGGACCAGCCCAGCTCAGGGGGGCTCAGCAGGACCAGCCCGGGTCAGGGGTCAGGGGGGCTCAGCAGGTCGGACCAGCCTGGCAGAGCACCCGGCCCCCTCCCAGGGATGTGCCAGGGCTGGGGTGACTCATGCTGGCCCTTGGCCCCGCCGATTGCTCAAGGCAGTGACAGCAGCCAAAGTGTCACCTCCCTGGGCCCCGGAGCCTGGCCGTGTCCCCTCCCAGCCTGGGCTCTGTGGGGTGCAGGGGCAGGCTGCCTTTCACCCTGTGCTGCCCACCAGGGGCTCCAGCCCTCCCTGTCTCCTGCTCAGCCTTTCCAGGTCACCCTGGGCAGGAGCAGAATTGTCCCCTCCGGGCTGTGGGTCCTGGCTCAGCCCCTGATTCATCTGTGAGAAGCTCCTTGGTGCAGTTTTGGGGCTGAAGCTCTCTGAGACCTGAGCATTTCCTGGCTGAACACAGCAGAGGATCCTGAGCTGAGCAGTTTCCATCCAAGGCTGGGGCTGCAGATATCCAGGGCATCCAAATAAAGAAGCCAAAAAGCCACAAAAGCTTTGATGGCTCTTGTGTAACTCAGCCTGACCTGACCATACCCTTTTAAGCCACCAAATCTCTCAAAGCCATAGAAAAGCCACTATAAAATTAATATTTTTATGATCCTGTCTCCCAGCCCTTCACAGCAGCTACAGAGCTCCAAAACGACCATGACAGGGCCACGAGCCACAGGGTGAGGGTGGGATTTCAGCTCAGTTATGGTTAGATTGGCTTCCAGAGCTTCAGCACTGAAATGCAGCTGCTGGTTTCAGCCAGGAACACCCAGGGAAATTCCTGGGCTCTGGGGAGAGCTGAGGCACTGGCAGCACGCTGGGATTTGACTTTGATATCTGAAATCTCAGTTTCATTGGGAAGGGGTCTGGGTGAAGCACAAGCATTGTGTGTCTGCGTGCTCCTCTCCCTGAGCTCCTCCTTGGCTCCAAATCCTGCCCACAGAGTTGGGAGATGTGGGGAAAATTCATTTTAATTCCGTGCCCGGCTGCCCAAGACCCCGTTCACATTCAGATCCATCAAGGATCCAGTCTCCAATCCCTCTGCCAAGGGCCAAACCACCCTGTGAGAAAATCCTGTTGCATTTTATGCAAGCTCTTGGGCAAGAGGCGATGCTGAGTCTGCAGAGCTGGGATCGGGAGTCGCGCCCGCTCCCGTCCCGTGGGGAGCTCTGGGAGGAACCTGGAGGCTCCCTGGTGGGGACACCCCACCTGCCACCCCCAGCCCTCCCAACCCCTGCCCAAGACCCCCCAGTCCCCCCAGCTGCTGCCTGGAGCAGGGCTCAGAGCAGGGAGCACACGAGGCTCAGAGCTGCTGCCAGCGCTGGGAGCTGCAGCAGCAGAGCCAGGGGAAGGACAGGGCAGGAGGGGAAAAGCAAGGCCAGAAGAAGGAAGGTGGATGAGGACACCCAAGGCTGCTCTGGGAACGGCCCGAGATGCAAACCACGAGCTGAGTCACACAGGGGCTTTCTTAACCCAAAGGAGCCGAGCTGGCACTTTGTGTGTGCTGCCCCTGGACCAGGGCAGGGGCAGCAGCAGTGCCCTGCCTGCTGCCCCCAGCCCTGCCAGGCTGAGCATTCCCAGCAGGGCACAGGGACAGGGACAGGGCACAGGCACAGGGACAGGGCACAGATTGAGGACGTT